TACGTACGTACGTTACGGTTACGGTTACGTTACGTTACGTACGTACGTCGTACGACGTACGACGACGACCGTACGTACTACTACTACCTACTATATATATATATATATATATATATATATATATATATATACCCGGACCCAAAAAAATATTGTGGGATATAGACCTGGATCCGGAGCTGGACTTGATGGGACCCGACCCAAAAATCAAAATATCTATATGGTCAAATATGTTTCCTAAATTCGTTAAATATATACATATATTATTTGAATATTATAATTACTACGATATATTTATATTTATTTAAATATTATTGAAATATCAACACTATCGGGTTGGGTCCTTGTCGGGTCTACATGGACCTGGACCCGGACTGAATAGTGTTTGGGTCCAAGATTTGGACCTGGGTCCGACCTATCGGGTCCAATTTTTGGGACCCATACCTAGACTCGAGTTGGGTCAACTTGTCGGATCCGGATCCAGGTCCATTACCACCCCTAGGGGAGGGGGTTGGTGCATTTAGAATACCCTCAATCTAAATGGGGAGAAAAAGGATGTTTTGCCCATGGCCCAAGGGCAATTTCTGACCTTGGTCCCCATGAGTGACCAAGGCGGGCGTCTTGGCTAGACTGTGTGCCTCCTGCCTAGAGGGCCACCTTAGCCTAGGCGAGGCACCTAGGCACCCTCCTCACCTCAAGGTGCCACCTAGGTGGTGAGGTCGATCCGCTTTTTGTACAGTGCTTCCAACAAGTTTCATATCATCGTTATTATCATTACTGTTTTTGCAACGGAAGCATACTTTCTTTAAATGTCTTGAGTAAATATCTGCAGTGAAAGCTATGACTTTGTTACTTCCACATAGATGTACTGCATTTTCATTCATAATGTTTTGTTAGGTTTGCGTTTGAAGAAAGCATTACGATTTTTAATTTAGATAATGTTCATTTATAATGGTTCATCTCTGCTTTGAAACTTTAGTGCTTTGATGTTAATGATGCCTGTCACTCATATTTTTTTGAAATAGCTAAGCTGGTTATTGACATACAATAATGCAGGTGATGTTCATTTGTAACCATTGTCCTTTTGTTATACACCTGAAGAAAGATATTGTTAAACTTACGAATTTCTATATGCAGGTAAATTGAACTTCTTTTCTCTATCTAATTCGCGCGTATTTATATATCATTTACTCTTCCCAGTTCTCATTATTATTTTTTATGCTCTATTTTGGGATACAACTTACGACAAAAAATTTTAAACATGTCTGGGGGCATGTGTTGGTGCTGCAGAAGGGTCTTGCAGTTGTGGCGATCTCTGCAAACTCTGTACTTGGTTACCCTCAGGTATGTTCAAAGCCTTAAATTACTGTATTAAAGTTTTTTTTTATATTGATCTTGATAAAAGTTTGGAACAGTTGCTTGTAAATTTAGGATTTATTTTATATTGTGATATTTTTCACCAAAGCACATAGTTTCATTCATTCAATTCATGTAAAAAGATATCTAATAAGTGCCCATGATATGATTGATCCTTCCACCCACTCCCGATCCGAGTTTATACTTGATTTTCTTATGCTTGAAAGTCTTGTTGTCCTTTCATTCCAAAAGCCTGAAAAAATGGCTAATGGGCTGAGCAACCGTGAATTCCCTTCTGGGAGAATGAAAAAGAATGGTCTCTGCTACTAAGCATGGGATGAGGTGTTAGATTAATTAAAATATAATAGGTCTGAAATACTTACTATATTGCAATAGATAACGACTGGTCATGACACAGCACCTATTTCACTGCTTCTGCTTGTGTCATCCATGTTAGTACATGTTTGTGGGCATGTTGAACCATGTGACACATGTCACAATTTAGTTCCTGTCAACAGATGGCTGGTGATGCAATTATGTTTGGAGTGTCAAACAGCAATCTAATGTCACTTTTCTCAGTAAAATATGTGATTTGATGGATGTATATAAGGGTACCCTATCTCATGTAACCTATCCATATGAATTGAGATTTTGTAATCCTCATGGACTTACAATCATATTCAACTCTCAAATTGATATGAATCTCATCTTTCTCCTACTCCATCTTATAAGACAAGTGCCCTCGAGTATTTCATGAATTTTGTTTAACCCTCATTGGGGCGACCAAGTTGTTAGGACCGGACCAGTGAAGGCACCGATTTAGCCGGACTGGACGAACCGGTCTGGTTCACTGGCAGGACCGGTCTAAGAAATTAAATAAATAAAAAATAATAAAAGTAAGAAAAAAGGGGGAAATAGAGAAATAAAAAACTATTATATATAGTAATTCCCTTCTTTCGTAGTAGAGTTTTGGCTAAAAATGAGTATTCTCCATGGGCATATAGATAATATACTCCCACGTTCATAGTAGAACCTTTGGCTACAAATATTATTCTCCCATAAGCATATAGACAAAATACCCCCACTATCATAGTTGATCTTTTGGCTAAAAATAAGGAAAAAGGAAGAGAGGGAGAGTAGAGAGAGAAGACAACGTGGGCCTCTCTGAGAATTGCATTGGAACTCTTTCTCTCTCTTCTCCCTTTCTCTCCCCCTCTGCAATCTTAAATTCTGAAGAAACAATAATATCCAAACAATATATCTCTTTGACATACCGGATATAGTCTATCACCAAATCTAGTTAGTTCCCATATCACTGTTATCTATTCTCTCTCTAATGGAAATCGAGTGGGAAAGATTAAACTGTAACTGTGAACATGAGTAATTCGCCCCCAAAAAAAAATTGTGAACATGAGCATGAACTCCTTTCTCCTCTCTTTCTCTCTCTAGTCTCTACCCTCCCCCTCTCTTTGTTCCAAAATGCTATTAAACTCTCCTTTGAACTTAGAATATGATACTCTTCAAATGAAGGTTTGAAAAATCGGTGATTTGAATCGCAGTCGCTCGATCCACATCGGATTGTGCCCTGCCTGATCCAAATCTCGTAATATATCAGGATCCGGCTGAGACACCCCAAGAACCGGCCGGTTCTAATTGGTCCATATGGGTTATGTCGGAAAGAACCGGACAACTCAACCGGTTCCCACGTTTTCAATTTTAAATTTGTTGTTTCTAACTTTTTCAATTAAAAAATAAGTGGTGGCCCACCAATAAGCTGTTCTCATGTTGAGTTGCCTCCAACATTAAATATCAAACCTCCCACGTGGCCTTCAGCTTCCCAATTGCACGCTCATACCAAAGCATTGGGTTTAATTCCTTGTATATGGGCTTTCACTCCCACATTTCTTCGTTGTGGGACAAATCTTTTTATAGACAAGTTCAACCTTCGCTATCATTCTCTTACTCACATCTCGCTCCTTAACATCCAAACTTTTAGACCAACGTGTTCCATAGCATATATTCCACTATGTTTATATGTCTGCACTTGCACAATTATTGAGACCGCATTGCATTTACTTTAACACTTTCTAAAATTTAATTACTGTCAAAGTTTTGTCTCGCTTCTTCTTTTGAAGGGGAAATTTTGGGTTTTACCTAATGACTTCAATGTGGGACAATTGTTCTTTTTCCCTTCTCTCGAACATGTCATTGCATTGGGGTGAATAAACTGCGTCCAATAAACAGGTGAATAATATTAGACTATTAGCTCATTGGGATTAAAAAGAATAATATTAGCTCATGGGATATTAAGAAATTAAAAAATAATAGTTTTTTTTATTAAACATTCTTAAAAAATACTAGCTTATGGGTTTTTTTTTTTTAAAAAAAAGCACCAGCTCATACCACTTCAGAATCTATTTTCAAATTGCTTTATCAATTACTTGACATTGCTAGAATGAATTAATTTATTTATTTTAAAACATGATTGCAAATTTATGTTTCTAAATTCTATATTTTTGCTCATACTAATTATTACACATTAGATTTATTTATTTGTGAGGATCATATGCTTGTTTTCTCTCTATTAATCAAACTATTTTACACTTCCTTTTTATTCACTATAAATTTGATTATGAGAGATCCATTCTTTTGCAATGAGTTGCATTTTAAATTTCATTTGACTATAAAATGAATATAATGGATAACAAACACTCAAACATGAGATATTTTCTCAGTACTTATGTATTTTCAATAAAATAATGCAAAACTATAATGCAATACAACAATTTTTTTGAAAACCTACAAAAAATCGATTTTTAAAAAATTTTAGTAATTTTTTTAATGTTGGATCTTGCCCATTCGGCCGATTCTCCAATCTAGATCGCCGATCCGACCTGGTTTTCGGGATGAACGATACAAGTCACCTATTTGTTTTTTCAAACCTTGCTTCAAATACTTAATAAATATCTAACCTGAATTTGGCCTGGAACTCACTAGAAATTGCCAGAGTCACACCGGAGGAGGATTACTGCTGTTTCGTTTGCTTGAGCGAGCGAGGAAAGGAAAAAAGAACTATAAAAAATTATAAACCTCCTCTTTCTCTCTCTTTTAAATCCTCTTTTTATGGAAAACCTAATGTCAATTTACTGTATTCTCTTATATATTTTTAATATGACAAAAAAAAAATTACTCTTTCTTTCTTAATAAAAAACCAAAAAAATGGGGGCAGTAAATGTCTTTTTGCCCCCAAAGTTGAACCGGCCGGTTCAATTGTGAACTAGTGAACCGTCCGGTCCAATGAATGGACTGGCTGGTTCACCGATTCGATACCGGTTCAACCTCCACCCCAAGTTCGTTGACTAAACCATACCGCTTTTGGCACCGATTCACTGGTCGAACCAGGCTGTCCTGTCTGGTTCTTACATCATTGTGGGTGACTTGCCCAATGTTCACCCTGAATAAACTTAAATGTCAAGTTTGCTTCCATTTGGATGCTGTATGCTGCAACTAATAGTTCATTTTTAGATATCATTGCATTGTTTTGTTTGCCAATGTGCATACTGAGAAGATTCAATATTAAATCTCCAACCATCTTGATTCTATGTACTGTGACTAACAGTTTCTTTTTGAGATATCATTCTTTGCTCATTTATCTCTTCATTAAATGTAATGATGACATGCAAGTTCCTTTGTCTGAAATTAAAGGTTGTTCAATGAGGAAAATATTATATGCTCCATCTTTTGTATATTTTCTTGACAAATATCATACTGCCATACTTCTTCAGTTGCTTTGGTAGGTGGTCACAATTCTCAGCAAATTTCTTTCAGAAATCTGCTAGTGACTTTATGGAATTCTATATGGTTTATGGCTAGGTTGTTAAGTTTAAGCTTCATTTATGGGGTTGTTCCTTTCTGTATAATATTTTTTTTCCCTTTTTAAATCTGACAGGATGGACCAGAGTTCATGGCAGAAGATGCTAAGCAGTATAACTATTCCTTTCCATATCTCTATGATGAGGTACCGGCATAAGATATTTGTTAATACTTGTATTTAGTATCTATTGCAAGACAAAAATGTGGAAATCCAAGATGTGTATAAGATATTGTTAATTGAGGCTACCTTGGTTATTCAAATTTGGCAATAGCTTACGAATCCTTTTTCTTTCTCGTTAAGGGGTTCAATTGTTAAACATGTCGCTTATTTAGAGAAATAATAAATTGTAGTTAGTTTGCCATAAATAGGAAGGGCTGCATATTTAGAGGTAATTGATTGTGGTTGCTTCTCTTATTTGTGATAAGACTTGTTTCTGTATCAAGTTTTTACACTGTATTTATTATTCTCTGAATGCCTGAAAATCACTAAAATTTATTTGTTAAACAAAATGAAAAGAATGGCCCTTTCTATTAAAGAATGTTCTTCAATACATTATGTACTGCATTATACGATTATGACATTTGAAGTATTTCTAGAATTCAACTTTTCTTGCAATACAATTACATCAGTTATTCAAATATTCAAGGGTTTGCTCTCCTTCTCCTTTCTTCCTGTTCAAGTTGAAACTTTTGTGCCACATTTGAAGAGGGACATTGAGCCAGTTAAAGTGGGCATTACTGGCTCATGGAAGGGAAATTGGAATCAGTGCTTGTGATGAAACACTGAGACCTAATGAACCACCATGAAGATTGGAATTATGTTAGTAAATCATGAAAACGTCCAGTACTTCAGGGAAGTATCAAATGTATGATTTGCGGCATATGAGATAGTGGTTCAATAAGGTGCAGAGGAGTAAGAGCTTGACTGGGACAGGGGAAAGAGTTTGTCTTTCTGAGGACAGCAATGTTTGCATCAGAAATTTAATCTGGAGCTTGTTTAAGTTTGGCTGGGCAAGAGAACCGATTTGGAGATTTGTTTGCTCAAGAGAGACTACAGGGGATATTTATTTTAATTTTAGTAGAAATGTAAAAATTTGAAAAGGGCACTTTCAGTGACAGTTCAACATTCATCATCAATCGACCATGACCTAGAAATTTATACACACCTTTTGAAAAGATATTCACCATCATGATCCATGATAATCATTAATAAAAACTTAACAAACATGATAATTCACCAATTTCTAAAGAGATTTCTTTGAGCTTCAATAGATAGCTTTGGTCCATTGATGTCAAAATTTTGTAACAATTTGTGCAAGAAATAGGGCTTCCTTATGGGATTCAAGCCTGCAACTCAACAGAAAGGCACTGGATGTTGCAACCTTTAGTTTTGTGGATTTGAACCTGTCTAACCTATGCAAAACAGATAGGTGTTCCTAATTTTTATGAATTTTTTTTTTCTATTTTTTGCGTAGGTCAGTGTAGGGTTTGAACTTGGGATGTATTGTTGCAATTTGTCAACACCAATCAATCAAGCAACAACGCCAATCCCTTATTTCTATGATTCTTAAATTCTGGAGATTGTTAGCTGCAATAGGTGATATAATTAGGAAAAGTAGACTTAGGTGGTCTGGGCATGTGCAGTACTGGCCTAGAACAACATCGATTAGGAGGGATGATTTGGTTTCAGTGGAAGGCTCTAAAATGGCAAGGAAAAGGCCCAAACGGGCATGAATGGAAGTAGTGAGAAGAGATACGGTGACTTATGGTCTGACTGAGAGTATGACCCTTGATAGAGTGGAATGGCAGAACAAGATTCATGTAGCCGACCCCAAATAGTTGCGGTAAGGCTCGGATGCTGGGATAATGATGATGATGATTGGGCTTTTGTAAACACCCTTTGCTGTTAGATTCACTTGATTGTATTTTCTATGGAGGGAGGGGTTTAAATACCTTGGGGACAATTTCTCCCCTATAATTTTTACCAAATTGTTAGAAAAAACAGGAAAGAATATGAAGTGGAAAGTTGGAAACAATCACAAACAATTCAGTTAAGAAGGAGAAAAATCTGACCAATTAAAAATTTTGTTTTTGCCAAAGGTAGAACCCAAATGATTTTCACTCTAAAATGAATCTAACTAGCTTGGTCAGCAGTGAGCTTTTAGGGAGTCGATAGAGATCTACTGTTGGGAAACATGCCGGAAGAGGTGAATAGGTGTTTGGTGGTATTTCAAAAAAGAGTAGTTCTGTCCTCAGAGGTCTTCCTGTTTCCTTTACAGTCGAAAATGGAGGTTTCAAGAACTTTCAAACATGAGCTCAATCATTGTTTTCATTTGGTTGAGTCTATGTCTTCCTCTTTGGGTGTTTAGGGGGATACTTGGGATTGGGTCCCTCTCCTTTGTGGTGTGCTCTTATGAGCCTCTTGTACTAATTGTTCTTTCATCCTTTAATGTTCAGAGTAGAAAAGGGATTCTCACTGGCCCCAAGTACCATGCTGATGGTGTGTTTCCTCAAGAAATTGTATCATATTAAGTTGTGTGATGCTTGTTATAACCATTGAAAGTTTGCATTTGACCTTCCCAGAATAGCTATGTGAGTTACTATTCTATACTGCATTGTAAAGAGGATAGAGTGTTGAATGGATGACCTCCAGTCCCCAATATTCCTGATGGGAAAGGGTGCTGTTAATCATCTTGTGCTTGTTTTTTCATTCGGAAATATGCAAAGATGGTTGCAAGTGTGCTTCTCCTTGCAGGTTTTGTGCTTGCATGTGGAGTACACTACTAATCTTTAAAGAGTTAAACACTCTTTTTTTTGTACTTACGACATATGTTTTTTGATGTGCTAAGATTTAAAAGTGATTATTCCCTCTTCCATATCACTCCATACTAGAGATTGTTCCTGATCACTCCAGACCACCTGAATATAAATATTTTAATACTTTTGGTGTTTTCAATGCTAAATCTAAAGATTTATGGTTTCTCTCTCTTTTGGGTGATCTATTTTTCCTTTGACATTTTAAAGTACAGTCACAAGAAGTTGCACGTGCTTTTGGAGCTAAATGCACCCCAGAGTTCTTCCTCTTCAAAAAGGTAATTTCTGAAAGTGCATTAAAAAATTGTTCTTAATCTTCCATAAATCTTATGCCTAAAAAAGATATAAATAAACTTAAATTAGGAAACTAATTATAGACAACTTGCTTTTCATTCATTTGTCATTTGCTTTTAAAGTTCAGTCATATGGTTTTCACAACTTGGTTTGACATATTGAATTCTATTTTCCTGTTCAATTTAATCCTAGATGTTGTGACTTTCGCTCTTTAACTACTCATCCCAATACTTTTTTTATTTTGGAAATTAAATCTGTAAAGGATGGAAGAAGACCATTTGAGCTTGTATACCATGGACAGTTTGATGATTCACGCCCCAGTCATAAAATACCTGTTACAGGAAGGTATGCATTTATGACATTTTGTTGTTTATTGAACCTGCTTCTTTATGCCATAACATTCTTTAAGAAATAATTTCATGTTCACCACTCGAGGAAAAGAAGGAAAGAATTGCATGTTTACACTGTCTTTTATAAACTCAGGGATTTGAGTCAGGCAATAGATTGCGTACTCAGTGGACAGCCTGTACCTGCCGAGCAAAAGCCAAGGTACTCTCCGCTCATTGCCCGTATATTGTGAAGACCTTCATGGCCCTTGGATATATTCTCTCTCTCTCTCACAGACACAAACACTCTCTCTCTCTCTCACAGACACAAACACACATGCATGTGGAATTATAGATTAGAATCAGTGATTAGCAAAATAACTGGTCTGACTTGGGAATCTCCCCAATCAAACAGGATTCGAGGTTAAAAGAAAACCTCAAAATCGCCCTTGTCTTCCTTTTTTCATATTTTTGGATCTTCTTTGTCCAAAATTCCCTGGTCCAACTCGGACTCTCCCGACAGGGTGACTTGGGATCATGACCCTAGCGTGTCCCCCACCGAATATACCTTTTCTTAATCATTGATTGGGGTAATTCTCTTGTATGCACTCACATAAGCATTATCCATCAACTTGGTAACATACCACTTTCTGATTCTGTTTCTCTTTTCTTTATAAAGTATTGGCTGCAGCATTAAATGGCACCCTGCAAAATCCCTGTGACCTGCTGTGGTCGGCTAGACATTCTTATAATCGTCTTGATCTATTGCTTATTGAGGTATGCTTGTAGTAGCTCTAAAATTACAGATTTCCCATCAAACTTTCCCAATGTTGTATATATAACCAGTAAAGTATTTGGGATATAATTACCCAAAAAATGTATTTGGGTTACAAGTATATGGAGATTAGGCTCGTTGCTGTTTCCTATTTTTCTACTAGTTGTAGTTGTTGCTATAAATTTGTGAGTTTGGTATGAGACTATATTTGTGTACATTCAATCTTTTTTTTCTCTAATTAAAATTTTCAATTTTGCAGAATGAAAATCTTGTCCTGTTGATGGAGGGTTCTTGATTACTAGTCAGGAATAAAGGTAGAATAATAGATCTATCTGTTTCGTACTACAATTATAAATTATAACTTGTGTCGGGAAAGAAACTCCTTTTTTATTACTTCAATACCAATCAGCTAAATACTTGTTGGCTACAAATCGATCTGTTTCACTTATCTGTAATTCATGGGAGTGTCTTTTTATTTACTCATCCATGATGGTTATTTACGTATTCTCACTCCTTTTTCTATTGCTTTAGACTAGTGTGATATCCCTATGCATAAGGGAGGTCCAATGTTGGTGTTTGAACTTTGGAGTTTCTCCATGAAAACCAAGCTTGCTTACTTTATATGGGGTTTTCTTCATCTGAACTTTTGGGATATACTTACAATCACTAGATGAGTATTAGGAAAGGGAAAAAAAAATGGATTTTGAGTTTTTAAACAATTGTATATGTCCAAAACTTGAATAATCTCTATTCAATTGTGGGGCATGGATCCAGATGCCGTAGCCATGAGAGTGATTACAATCCGGATCGCACTTTCTGTAAACTTGGTGTGTGTGGTGAAGGGTAGTTTGGGTTTAGGGAATTAAATCCAAACTATGATATTTTTTGCACTGGTACTTCACACTCTCCTATGGAATTTAATGGCCAAGTTGTGTTGTTCATCTGTCCAAAGTCTGTCAAATTCTTTTAGGGAGTTTGAGCGAAACTGTATTAAAAATGGAGCGTCCTTATTGTATGCTTTCTAGTGCTTTAGAGTTGACAAAATTTTTTGGAACATTATCTCAACTTGAGTATAATAATATTTGAAATGGAAAGACTTTCAAATTAAATGCGAGAGCACTTGAGAGGTTAGCAGTTGACATTAACAACGCTACATATTGACAGACTATAATACCAAATGAGGTATTCGTATTCATAAACAACAATATATCATGTATGTGACTTGGTATCTACCAACACTAAATATTCCATTGTGTGATTTATTTGGTGAGATATTTGTATTTAAACATACCAAAATTTTAAGGTATTAAAGTGAGGTTCTACCAATAAAGAGATTGTATACTATAAAATTATTTACTTTTTGTACAAGGAGGTTGTAATTATTTTTAGCCATTGGATGTGAAATCCGAACATTGAAGTGTGATACTGCATTCAAGAAAGTTTATTCTAGATTTTGTGCCAATCAATGATACATCTTCAACCAACCAATTTTATATCCATCGGTTAATAATAATTGTGTTCACTTTGTATCAAAAGTAAATGGTGTATGTATTTTTCACCAATATATTGTGAACATTGTCATCAATGAGATATTGATATTAAAAAATACCAATTTCTCTAAACGTGAATTAGTGAGATGCTGGCATTCAAATCTTTAGGATAATGGTAGTTAATGAGATGGGTGGTGTGAAAATACCAATATCTCATAGGTTGTTTAAAGTGAGATATGGGTTTTAAAATACTTATATCTGGCATTGGTGGCTTTTTGAAAGGTACTTCAATCTTTTATAGAGCACAAAATTCAGAACTACCCTTACGATAGTGAAGGCTTTTCGAAATTATGAAAGAAGAATGGGTGAAATGTTAAATGGTGCATCTCATTGAGATTGATAAATTACCCCCTGGAGAATGATGATTTCATTTTTTTTGACAAATATTATTAAATATTATTGGAAATAGGAGTTACCTGAAAGGGATTGCAACATCTAAAATGGAAAGAGAAGACAAAGAAACACCTCTATAGCCAGGTAATCTCCTAAAGAATTAACTTCCCTAAGACATGCTTCATGACGGCTGTTATGATTGTGGTGACCTTTGTAACGTTATTACGACAGTAAGGGATGGTAACAACTGCCGTAATATACAACATTGTTTCGAACCTTGGTTTCAACTATGGTGCTAAGGATGAACTATTTTGGAATTTAAATTGTGTTAGCAACTAAACTTTGATTGCGAGATAAGGTTAAAGTTAGCTACTTAATTACGTTTAGCTATTTAAGAAAACAAGGTTTTCTAGTAGATAAGGGATCAAGTCTACAAGAGATGTACTTAGGAATAGGAAAGTCCCTACCCCCATCTATAAAATAAATAAAATTCAACCCTTTTTTTGAGCATGGGGGAGAGTTTGGTATTTTGTTTAAGGGGATTTTATACTACAACCTCCATTGTCATTATCGTCAAATCATTTTTTCAATTAATTAGGATCAGCTACATAAATTTTAGTCCGCCATTCTACTCTACTACAACCCCCCTCTATAAAATAAATAATATAACTAACTTTTTGAGCATAGGGAGAATGATGTTTCTTTTATGGGATTATATACTTTAAGAGTTTACTTTGACATAAGGAGGTTTTAATGATATCTATTAGCCAGATGTGAGTCAGGTGGCTAAGTAGTAGAAAATCGTTTTAGACTTTGAATCTTATCAAATGGCACACCCTCAGCTGCTTGATTTTACAACTAACAGCTAAAAATAATTGACTTTCTTGTACTAAAAGTAAATGGGTGTATACTATATGGCTCTAAAAGTAAATGGGTATATACTATATGCCTTCTCTTTTTTAATGTATCTCTTAGGGCCTATTTGGATAATAGTTAATATTGGGAAATGATCATATGAATTTTCAATATGCTATGTTAAGGTATATTGAATTTTTGGAAATTGATTTTTTTTTTTTTAACCTTTTTGCCCTTTCTCTATCTCTTCGTCAAAATGCACCCTTTTTCCACTCTATGCCCTCTTCCATGTCTGAAACTTCCCTCTTGTCTACTACTTATTCTTCTTCTTTTTATTTTTTTAATTTTTTATTTTATAAACTTCATATAAAATGTTGACTGTTTTCTCGCTCTCTCTCACCTCGTATAATTCTTAGAGGTTTCAGAGGCAGTAAGACACAAGCAGGAGTAGGCTAAATATTCAGTAGTCTTGAAAGAAACTAGGCATTTAAACACCAGAAACTACGTGTGTAAGAAAGAACAATGAACCCTCTCTGAAATCTCTACTTCTTGAGCTCTTGCTCTCTTTGTTGTTCAGTCCTGAAGGTGTCCTCTTCAAGGCCTCATCTCTCCAAAGAGTATCAATAAAACTACTGTGAAAAGTTATATTTTTTCCCTCATTTTTTCTTTAAGTGCGTCATAGAAGTAAAGCAAGAGGCTGTTTTTTGAAATGAAAATGGGTGTTCGGTTTGGGAGGTAAGAGGGTAAAATAGACAGGGAAAGTGGTAAAAAGAAAAGGTTAAATAATTCCACAGCATGGCAAGCCACTGTATTGAAAATACAAAGGTATCATTTCGTATTAATTTTATCTCGAAGTAATTATCTTATCTAAAATTAATCATGGATAATATCATCGTTAATTTTTGTTTAGTGTATATCTTGTTTGACGTATAATACGTTGTAACTATTTAACTTCTTTTGGGAAATTTTGTCTATTTGTAGTTTGATTTTCTACAAACTCTTTTGAATTATTTATAATTTCAGCAAGTAAAAGTAGTTTTTTTTTAAAAATATATATATAAAATTATCTATAAGTATGTCTTAGATAACTTTATAATGAATAACCCAAACACCAGATAATATATTGTTAGGATTAATTTTATCCAAACAATAAATTATCAGCGACAAAGAGTACATTGAAATATTACTTCATGATTTAGGTCACTATTAGTTTGTTTATTTTAATCCATAAGCTTCTTTATTTCTTTTCTAATATTGCATGGGAAATAGTATTCCATTGCGAATTTATTTCCTATTGAATTTAATGTAAAGAAACTCGGACTTGGGCTCAGGACTTGGCCCCTGTCCTAGCCGAATGGACTCACACAAGTCCTGCACGAGCTCAAAAAGGGCAAAAAAATAAAAAAATTAAATATAAAGGAATATGGAAAAGTGATTTATAACTTGAAACAATTCAAAAAATCTAAAAAAAAATAGAGCATATAGTAAAAACATTCATGGATCATCATAAAAAACATAAATGTTATATAGAAATATGTTTATACATCAGCTATTACTGTTTAACAGCAAAAATTATGTTATCATATTTCTAAACCTGAGTTTGTACGCCAAACTCGCCCTGGCATCCAGGCGAGGCCGAGTTACTCGGCCGAGTCAGTGAATCAAGTTGCATGTTCCTGTTTTTTTCAACAAGTTACCAAAGTATTTCTACTATTTTCCAACACAATAGTCTCTTGAATGTCCTGGGGATCACCAAATAAACTTTTTAAAGTCTAAAATCACACTAGAAACTTGTTACGGAGGAAATTTCCAAAACGGAATTCGTCCTTTACAGGTCTTTTCCAACTTTTTTGCACCTTCCGTATGTGTAGTCCCTTTCTTCCTTTTCATGCATTTGCTTTACAGATCAAGAGTTTTTTGTATTTCTCTTTCTTTTGTTTCTTCCTTTTATTTATTTTCCTCACTTGTCTTGTCTTTCAACAAACAACAAAATGAGAGAGAAGCATGTAGCTGACGCACGTGTATGATGCTCTTGCTGATGGTCCTCAATGTCATCCTCTAATCCCTGTCATCTCATCTTGTTGTGGTCATATCTATCGGCGTAACAAAATTCGGATTGGTAGGGTGGATCATCCATCTCAGAAATTTCGTGGGTTGTCGATTTATCTATTTGGATTGGTTTGAACCGGCGATCTAAAAAACTATTAAAAGATTACAAAATGAGAATAAGGGTTTGTGGGAACTTAAAAAAAAACTTTAGTGAATATGAAAAAGTATTTTGACCTTTAGTTTCTATTGTTTTTAGATGGAACACCTACTTTCATCCATTTTTAAGATGGATGTTTTACACTTTCTGGACCGCATATGTCGAAATGTGGTCCAGCCCTCATAAAACAATTTTCCTAGAAGTTAGTGTGACTTTTGAAGAGTGGATATACTGATTATGGAGTTTTATTATTATTATTTTTTTAAATTCCTTTTTGTGATATTTTATTCTTTTAGTAAAGGTGTTTGTATAAATATCATTAAAAATTAAAAAAAAGAAGATGGTATTTTTATCTTCATTAGAGGTAAAGTTGAAATTTTTACTAAAAGATAAAGATACTCTACAAAATAAAGTTATAGGATACTAACCGCCAAAATACCATAGTATTTTTATAAAAGTTCAAATTTGCCGCCTTTGCTTAATTATTAAATTACATAATAAAATATATTTTTAAACAAAAAGTGATATTTTTTGATAAATACACCCGTCACAACTCATATTAACGTT